GCGACAAAATTACTTGTATCTTACAGCTTAAATCAGCCTGTCTATCTCATATTTAAAAGTTGACTGTTTGAATCGCTCTAATATACTGAGGTATCTACGACGAACTATATGGCACAGTGATACAAGTGCTCTCCTGTGATGCACACTCACAATCCACGGTTCTGCAACCAGCACAGAAATTATAGTTACACTCATATCTCATTTCAGAAAACCAGTTCCTATTTTTTGTACTGCCTGATAAAGGTGGTCTGTAACTTTCGAATTCCCCAGAGTTTGACTGACATTGAATCTACAGTTGAACCTGCCGCTACCTGAAGCTTCATCGGATGTTCCCCTGAGCCAGAACGCCGTTGAAGATGTCGAGGAACATCTCGGCGTGATGCGGCTGGAAGATGAGCGCAGGCCGGCACCTGATGGTCCGCTCCCCGCACCCACCTGCCTGCACACCTGCAGAATGTACCAAGTCGGTTGTACCGGTCTTCACAAGTAACATACAACTTTGTTATTAGTACAAAGTAGAGTGGATTCATTCCTAAAGCTAACCGACATCTCGCACATCGCGCCTGATCAGTAAGACATAGCTGCATAGTTCCCGTTTAGAACTTTTATTAAGCCAGTCACACACCGGTTTCGTCCTGTGGACGTCTTCAATTGAACAGATCTAGAGTTCGAGGCTAGACATCTAGTGAACGGAACTATGCGGCCCCAGATGTCTTACTGAGGTAAGACCGTGGTGTGCTAGGTGTCGGGTAGCTTGAGGAATGAATCCACTGTACTATATTTTACAACTTTGCTATTGTCACATCACGGTCATAATAGATATTACGTTTACTAAATCTGCTTATATGGAAATGGGTGTATATGTTAGTATAACTGCACACATAAAACTGAAGCATCATACTTTATGATCAATATTGGTACTCTGACCTACCTTTGTTTCTGAGGGCATAAATGAGCTTGTTTCTGACCGCCTCTGTGGGACAGTCGACTGCACAGAAGCTGCCCTGTCCACGGCTACCGTCCAACACGTCCGGGTATTTGTTCTGAGTGGTACAGTCAAAACGATATTTCTTCGGCTCAATGTATATCTAGAATCATTTTCAAAATATTTACAAACTTGTGTGTGTCTGAAACCTACAAAAGAAGAGGATTAGGAACAACGACTCAAATATCTGATCATTGAACCGTGACGGTGGCAGATTCCCTCTTCCCGCCACTGAATTCACTCTTGACGCCCACTGCACGGAGTCCTATCTTTAAGCACTACTTAAAGCTTGTCTAAATATACACGCCAGTCAAACAGAACATTTACGTGTGCTTTAGGGTGTGCGCGTAAAGAATGGATTTTGTGAAGTGACGTCCGCTTCGAAAGTCAGCGAGAGGATAATTCGTCTGATGAAGGTGGACGTGTTCGACGGAAAATTCTTTTCGTGTCGGAACTAAGGCTTCAACGTAACTATGGATTCTACCAACACAGAAGGGCTTTTATTCAAACTGATCATTGTACTTTATGTAAGAGTATCTTGCGACCCTTACCTCCAATGTCCGGAGACCCTCCAGTAGAACGTCCCCAGTCTCACGCATGTTGTCCAGCAGTCTGTCCTCTTCTATGACCCGGATGACGGCCTCTAGCAAGACGAGTTTGGCAGGATCGCCTACCCACGTGTTGATGATCCGGTATCCCTGCAGCAGGCAGAGGTAATGAGAGGAATAAGGTACTGACTTTAATATCATTTCGGCTGTTGTAATACTGCCACCCCTTTGTATAAGGAGGTTCTTTTCAAACAACAATTGTTGTCCTGAAGAAGGTGACAGACGGCCACCGAAATGTTGGATGTAAAAACCCACTGTTCTTATACAGTCTCTTAGCAACCTGACACACATATTCACCAACACCCTTTGTTTTAGGCAAAATACACAAAACAACACTGCTGCAATATTTTACGTGAAACAACAATAAATGTGCATGTCAGAACGTCAGTGAAAGGATATCGATAATCCAAAAAGAGATTCTTTTAGAGAGGGGCCATGGAGATATGGTTACATCCAAATATGTCCAGAGTTACTGAGCATATACATGTACATTTAATAGGAAGATGTTGGTTTTTAAAAGACAATACGCTCCCTACTTACCCCCTGTGGTCGAAACTCGTCCTTGTAATAATAGCCACCGATCAGCATCTTCTTAGCGAAGGTGACGAAGTCTGGCGGCTCCTCCAGTCCCCAGTGCTCGTGTGCCCACATCCTGCCGGTCAGTCCTACTCCCGTCTGCACCTCGTCAACTATCATCGCCGCGTCGTTCTGGGAATCATCATCAGGTAGATATTAGGGCAATCATGATCACATAAAACGAAACCTTTTTCTGACGTCTTCAACACTAACATATCCTCTGGCCGCAAAGCTGGACTACCTCTCTTACGGACGAAATGTTGCCTCCCTGTACATGCCCCTTTCACAGGTGCTGTTTAAAAGAATTCTCACTACCTGTACAACCACTGAGCAGTTTTCAGTGTGTCACTAGGTTCTCCATCGGTTCAAATTCCTGTTTCAAAGCCCTTAAAGTTTTGTTTCCAGTACTCCAAAATTATGGAACTCCCTCCCAAACCCATGCTTCCCTCTGGAATACAATCCACAATATTTCAAAAATAAACATCCACCGCCATCTTCTGGTAACTGTCGTAACTACGTAGTTCAGTGCCTAGAAGTGCTTAATTAGCCTTGCAAATACCGTTAGAAATAAAAAAAAAATAGAAAAAAAACAGAGATAGAAATTGTTAGGAGAAGAATGCATCCGTACGTCTTTTGCTATCCTCTGCAGCCGTCTGAAGAATGTGTTGGAGGCGTGATGATCTCCGCCCTCTGCCTGGATGGGCTCCACCACTATCCCCGCCACAGGCTGGCCAGTGGTCTTAGACTCCACAATTATCTTCCACACCTGTAGTGGTACATGGCACTTGTCTTACAGTCACACATTGCTATAGACCATAGATTTTCTTCTTCTTCCTTCAATGCCCGCGATCATAATGATGATACTGGAATACTCATTTTTACCTGGGTGATCGTGAAGTGAGGAAGGTCGTGTAAAGTGCCTTTCCAAAGGGTACAAGATCGGAGACATGGTAGGATTTGAAACTGGGACTTCTTGGTTCTGAGCCGAATACTATGCCATTACGCCACACGACCCACAAACCATTCCTACCAAGATTTTAGCTTTACACGTCAGGACGATCAAAAGCATAATGTAATTCTTGTGAAAAGTACAAAAGACTTTACATGCCCGACAACAGAATAAGAGCACAAGTATAGCGGGTAAAGCTTACTGCATCAAGGCACCTCTCCTCCTCCCGTCTGTTCTCCTCGGCGTACAGCTCCAGCGGGTACCTGAGCTGAGGGAACGGCGCCACGGGCCACACCAGGGACGGGATGTCCACCTTCTGTATCGGCTTAGAATGGGACGTGGCCAGGCAGCCTGTATAGGAGATACAGGTTAGACATCCACGTAATAAGATAGGCCAAAAACAGTTACTCAAGCAACTGCATATGATTTTTGAAACGGTCAGTCGTTTCAGGTATAATAGTAGCATCCACTATCTTCCGTCAGTGACACTGGTGTAAACTCAAGATCTAATGTTCGAATAGTACAGAAGCCAAAACACATTTGTAAGCATTTAGGGTTTCGCGATAAATTCCTCAATCTACAGTGGTTTGAGTTATCAGAATATACCATTCCAGCTTATTAAACTGTTATCTTGATGACGAAACTATGAAAGGTTTATGAACAGACCTAAGGTTCTTCCGTGAAACCCTCCCTGGAAAGACAGGATAGAGAGTTTGGGGCTACCGGGCGGCTGTGGGGAAAATACTACAGTCAGTCAGTCGTTACACTCTACATGATTAGGACGTTCAGTCATTTCATTTCAAAGTGCAAAATAACGAAGAAAAAAATCATAATTCATTCAGAGTGAAATTGCAATAGATATGTAAGATATTACCATGTCCCGCATACAAGACTCTAAGTCTTCTTTAGACGGCATGCTGCCACCCCGTTGTTTGGTCTGCACAAAGATGAACATGTAGAAATTTTTTTCAACCGTCACTACAATTCTTCCAAAAGTACAAAATACAGTGGCAATTCACAGAGAAACGTTGCAAGAGGAAGGCACGAAACTGTATTCTACATTAAGGTACAGTACATAAGACGATGTCGTCTGTATTATTAAAACGGGATAGTTTTACCCTATACCAAATGAAGACCGCTTTGTAGGCGTTCTCGTTCGCGCATGTGCCACACGCCATGGTCTGCACTTCCTTCAGTCCCGGTGGGGCTACCTATGGACAACACGGGCATACACTCATATCCAGGCTATTGACGTATATACAGATAGAAGGGAGTGCACATTGGAAACACTATCGATGTAGACACTAAAGCATACATCACATAAAGATAGAAAAATAGGATGCTATACGAGGGCAACGCTTCGTCAGAGATATTTACATGTACTGCAGTATAAGGATACTGGTCTGATCACCCTTTGCAAGGGCATAGATAAAGTTAGAAATGCTTCTTTCATCTTACTCTCATCAGTACTTTCCCCATCTTGTCTGGAAAATCCAGGGGCGGGAGTGTTCCTAACGATGGTCGGTTTATAAAGGTGCTCTGTAAGAAAGAAAATTTATGGTATAAGCTGTTTTGTAGAAATATGTGGATTTGTGTTTGAAAACGTTCACACACAATGTTATTCGATGATGCAAAGCAAAATATATGTCTGCACATATTCTGTGTATACTCACAAGATTGTTTACGTCTCGTAGAGCATTCACCAATGCTGGGTGGTTATAGCCTATGAAAAACAAAAGCGCATTTCATCTAAAGGTCAGACATCTAGCTAATTAGATACACAAGTTGCTATTTGACAAGCAACTGGATAGATTGGAGACGTTGCTTGAGTAATTGTTTTCTTGTTCACAAATATTGGACAACTATTGTCAACAGTACGACGCCCACAATGGAAATCTTGCTGGAGATCTTTTCGACTTTTTTTTATATGACTAATAAGCCACAGTATCTTCAAGATCTTCCAACACATGCATAGAAACTGACACACTTCAAACTAATGACTTCTTATTCACCCAACGGCAGAGAGGAGATCTGTGTGTAAATGTCCAACAGTCTGTTGCCATCTGCATCCATCAACCAGTTCCCTCTACTGCGCTCATAGTCACAGAAGAACTGCACAGCTTCTGTATTCTTTTCAGAAAAACAACAGAAAACTAGAAGGGTAACATTTACAAAGCAAATACATAATGTTTACCGTCATAATATCTACATGTAGCCCAGCAAACTATTGCACTGTTTATTCTTGAGAAAGACAAATAAAGTCAAAATCGGTCGAATTTCGTCGCAGCGCTGTCATTTTTTTAAAGCTACGAATGATTGATACTGCATTGTTAAGCTTATACGAACCTGTATCTTGTCCAAGTCCGTAAGCAAAGCCTACAGATAACACAACAAGGAGGAAGCAAGAAAAATACGGAACTTGAAACACACAGAACTCACAGTGAATCAAATACTACAACTACAAGACTCTAAAGATAATACATTGGATCAATAATTATCGACATGACATTCTGACACGTTTACTCTCTTAGTCAATCAATGGTTATGTTCCCGTCCTTCCATTTGGAGTTCTCTTACTACTGTTTTTCCGAAGCGATAACCTCTAACTGGGATTGTCAAACCCATTACCGATGGAATAGTCCTGTTGATATCTTGCCCTGGTAGCAGGCAGTGATAGAGCGTACGGTCAGATTGACGAGCTTATCTGCCGTTAGTTTAAATCTAGGCGATCGTTCAATGCCACAACGTTCCTTTCATGACACACCTTTGATCGTGGTCCCGGGATTTCTGTCTTTATGATCGGTCGATCGTAGTCGTAATGATCGGGCAGCAGCTTACGGCGGGCTACATTGGACAGGCACCTCCCCAACGCTGGAATCACAGAAGGCATGCTATCACGTCATCTGAAGACTCATGCTATCACGTCATCTAAAGATTGCATCGGCTTCTTGAGACAATGCAAGAGCTCACCAATGCCCTGTGAGCACTAGATATAGGCTTTTGTATATAGTTGGTCACCTGTCACTGGCACCTACACATTCAAGCTTCTGTATCTTTTTTCTCGCACTAGTACTAACGCACACAGTATCAACCAGCGTTATTAAGAGACCATATGCGGTTTACTGAACCTAAACGATAACAGACTCACTTGGAAACATCGTCTGACTTGAAAGACGGCAAATGATATAACAGCACGAGACAGGTACGGTCATAATATTATTCTAACTGTGGCAAATTCCTCTGAAGAATTTATGAATCTTGGGCACGTTCAGTACACAACACAAGCGCCGTTTGTGGGACATGTATAGACATATTTTTGCATCATCGTTATTCAAACAAATAGAGAATCTTTTTAGGGAAGGGTGAGAACATTTTTCTCTCAAGGCCGACCTTTTGTTGCTTGTGTGATCGCTTGAATGTATATTGAACATGCCGTGTCAGAAGACAGGTCTGTTTGTCAGGTGATTTGAACCGTGGCGCGTCAGTAAATCCCACCACAGGAAGGAATTCTTCACGAAGCTGTCTCCAACGCTAAAGGTCAACATCAATCAAACCTGTGCCTGAAAGGTAGCCCTTAAGCACTAGTCACTCTGAGATGCACAAGAGGATGAATTTTTGGGATAAAATCACATCATAAGCATAAACTGCTCAACCATTTTAGCTGGCTGACAAGTTTATTAAATGAATCGTCTTCTGGATATCGATAGCCATCTAACAGTACTTCTAATAAAGACATGAGTCTTTAAACATCAACTGCGCCAATCTCAAATGGTCTTCACTTGAAATCGGTAGCTCGAAAGAGCAAGACGAAACATTACTTAGTGTGATGTGGAATCATCAGCCTTGAGAAATTTCATGCGTTCTTGTGGGAACTGTCGCAACAGGCAAATGTGAATGGATATCACGGGCAGACTTAGAGGATGTACTTAATGTCGGGGACGGCTGGAAATGGCCCAGACTGATTATATATATGGTACTTTTGTACTGTTTAGCATTCAAGACAGTAATGTGGGGATTCTAGATGACGTTCGAGTCTTTAAGCTTTATCTACCATCGACAATGGCATGGTGTGCAAATGACTTAAAGTATTCAAAGTATTAGTGGGATTGGCTTTCAGTAGGCCATTGTGATGAGGGAGGAAAGATAAACGTTTAAGTGAATTTATCTTCCTTAATATTTTCGGTGGGAAATACTAGCAGTTCTTGCCTGAAACCCAATACTGTATTTATGTATTCCTTAGTTTGAAAAAATTATCGAACTAGCCAGCTATACACCTGAATGAGACGATGACGTCATGCTTCATGTGATGCCCAGGGTGCACTTTTGTAACACGTCATCACAACACAAAGACTTAGTGCCCTTTCAACAAACACACGGTATTCAAGATAGACTACTGTATTATTGAGCGTGCCTTTTAAACATGCATCAATACTGTCAACCACACATTGTCAAATACCCAGTCTCACTTATATGTGCAATAATCAAAACAGGGATTTCGTAATATTCATCGTTTACGATGTAATTGGTAGACCAAAGATTAAAATTTCGAGATATTTTGAAACTTCCTTAGCTTATGGCATCAATAATTCTAGAAAGAGGCTCAAATTAGTCGGTCTATACAACTAGCAACTTTTGATACTTCATGAAAATGTGTACTAATAAATACCAATAAGTTAAATATATAATACAGTGATGTGCTGTAATAATAGATGCCAAGGTGAGAAAACAGGTGAATGTACTTACAGTGCATCTGCTGAAGCCTCCCCAGACGACCTGTAGTCTTGACTGACCACATGTTAAATAAGTCCTACGCGAGACGCCTACGAGAGGAGCGTGGGAAGCTAGCCTATTTCCAGAGTCGTGACTGCTGCAGAAATCGCTCTAGCTGTGAGTGTGACAATCTTGTGATCAAAACAACCCTGAGCTGGGCCCCGCTACTTCAACTGCGAGCCGTCTGTGCCGAGCGATTCCTTCCGAACCAAAACACTAACTTCGAAAGCAACGTGTCAGCACTACTGATGGTACAGAACCCGCGCGAATCACCGCCGGTTGCCGCTCTCCTTGGTGCTGAATCGCCTTCCCCGGGCCTCGCAGCCAAGCCGTAATGCACGCTCCGCGTAGTTATATAACAACCTGACGTAACAGTTCAACGTTAATGTCACAGGTTGTGTGTTACAGACGTGTTCCTTCAGCCGTGACACTTGTCTTCCTCAACCTGTCGCTGGGATTTCTTACTAACGGCGCCCCTTCGTCCTATCGGATGCATATTCCGCTAGGATCCGGCTAAAACCGGTTGCCAGCATGAAAATCGCATTGATGTTGGGTAGCTCGTGGGGAATGAGACTGGAAATTGGGATGTGCACGGCCTTCAAAGTTGCGTAGCGCTTGTATGTTTCCAGACATGGCAGCAGCTTTTAAGTACCGTCTTATAAACAATACAACCAACCACTAAGGTATTGTTAGTTACCCTGATCAATTAACGATTAATTAACTGGTCAATTAAGGAGAGCGAAAACATCATCACATTCAACTTCAGTATGAGATTTCTCCTACGTTGCGACTTAAAAATCCTTCTACAGCCATAAATGTATAGGAATATCCACAAGACCGACGTTAAGTTTGAAACGGCCAATGAAAATACCAATACTTTCTTTTCAGATAGCACTATTCGAACGAAACCTAGTCAAGAAGCCTCTTCCTTCCTTTAATGGAATAAAGCTGATGCCTTTCCCACTCGAACCTGACAGAGAATGATGACCACTCCCCGGCACTGAGCTAAATAGCACGACAGACATATATTTCACTGCCAAAAGATGGCGGTGAATGTTACTGCTGAAAACATCTTATCAACATGACTAACATACAGAGATAAACCCTGACATTTGCAGTATCTCGGCATATCTCACCATATCTTGCAGTATCTTAGTACCACTAGATTTGATCAGTGTTGCACACGATGCTTGTGACATCACGAAAAGCCGTAACAGCTATTTCAGCCAACAGGTATAGAGTCTATATTCTAGTCCCAGTACTGTTTTGAAACACTAAAACACTACATGACCTTCCAAAAGTAAGGCATTCCTACTTGTACAAATTTGTACAAGTAGGAGTGCCTTACTTTTATATGATATCATATTGTACATTCATTGATAGGGAAATCAAATCTACTTGGACTGGACTGTCTCAGCGAGTTGGCCAGAATAAAAGAACTAATTAACATGCAGGACCATGCATGTCCTTGGCAGGATTAACGTGGCGATTACGTATACCTAGGGGGTCTTGCCTGAGGAAAGGCTGGGTGTTAGGGTGGATTGTTCAGGTCACTTGATGCCTCAATATGAAATCTCTGGACAGAAGATATCTTCACCTACCTAGATACACTATGACCTTCTGTTAGAACTACCATGATTTGAAAGATGTGTTTGGTTTAATGTAAAGAAGCCACAAAAACAAGAAAGTCTACTACTCAGTTCTACATTTCAACAAGCAATTACCAAATACTGTATACTGTAATAATTCATTACCTGTGTGATTTCACAGACAGGTTTTATTGAAATGAGAAAACCTATACCCAATAGAATGTTGAACAGACCCCAGGGACCAATCAGTGCAGATTTCCACTGCTTATCATTTTTCCTTGTAGGCCCCTCACAAAACGGGAATGAATAATTTAGGAGCAAAGCACTAGAATTGATCTGACCCATTTTTTTCCTTGCATCATTGGAAAACAATTGTCTCATAATCTGGGGCAAATATACCTTAAGGTCTCTGCACTCCCAATATACATGTATTACTTATTATTTCTTATAGCTGTAAATTAAAAGAAACTGAAGAGAAACTTGAAGTTAAGCAAAGGAGTTAAACATGATTCAACTGTTCTTGTGCAAATATATTTTTTGACAATAGATCTTTTATCTTCAACAGGAATCATTTGTAATACTAATAAACAGACCAAGAAAAGAGAGCCCTAACATTGTTAATAACAGAACATATCAATCATATGCTTTCCTCGACAGTAATATAATTAGCATATTAGTTCAATGTCACATACTGTATTAAAACAAAAGATGGTGCCTAAATTGAGAAGCACAACATGGTTTTCCTTCTTCCCATATCAAATTGCATGGATATGGACTTATTTCTGTGTACAGGGGATACATGGGAATAAAAAGCATTTACGTGCCACATGGTTTGCATACTGATGTATTGATATACATAAATAGATCAAGTACAGTGTGCAACTTATGACAGGAATGATGGAGAAGGGTAACTTGTCTTTATTGAGAGGATGAAGTGTTCCAGGAATGGGAAATGGGAGGGGGGCAAGATGGGAATTTCCAAATAGACTTGTGGCATACATGTACATAGTCAAGTTTTAAATTTTGATAGTGCTGCCTCCTCTTACACAATATAACACAAATATAATTCTTCTCAAACATTTATGATAATAACGGTTAGCTAGGAGTCTATGATCTAGACTCTATCATACTCTTTGGTTTACCAAAATATAAGAGTAGAAAGTATACACATAACATGGTACAACAGTATTACTCGAGGATGGAAAATAGGTTATTCTACAACTATGAAGTACCAAAAATGTCTTTTTTCGACATGCCATTGATTGCAATACATTGTTTTTTAACGTGAAACTCATTCTTTTTCCTGTTCTACTGTTGAGGAAGTGGTGTTTTCCTGGTCTCCAAGCTCATGAGAATATCTGCACTCATCCCCATATTCACAGTGGCCCTACAAAATAGAAACAAGACTAGTGCTCATATAACTGTACAATAATTTATTTTCACATTTTCATTGTGAATGATGGAGGAAGGAAGTAATGTATTCATTCATGTAGTAGGGCTGACTGAATGACTGATCATGATGTTCATGTAGATCTCCAGGTACATGTACCTTTTTGCATGAAGTCTGGCTATGAATACTGAAGTCTAATGTACTATAATATAAATGGATCTGTATCAGCTGGCAGGGAGGGGGGGCACTGACCTGTTTGAACCTCTTACAGGGGAACTGTTTCAGGTCCAACTGTTCCTGCTGTCGTTTCCCCTGCAATCTTTTCCTCCTGTCTTCCTGAGCCTCCTCACTGTTCACACACATACACATGTACTTTTGTGCATGAATTTCAACACAAAGTCATGCCCTAACTACTAACTGTCAACATTACATGTGAAGAAATAAATCGTGTGTCTTTGCTTCCTCGTGTCATGATCTGTGATTGCAGTACACATTGTTTGTTTATTGTTGACCAAACATCCAGCAAAAACCGTGAAAAATCCAGGTTTTGCACAGGCATAGCACTTTCTGTCAACATGCTAGTTTGAGACCACTGTACATGTACTTACCCTCGACCAGCCCTGGCCTTGGGCCCCCAGTATTTAGGGTTCTCCTGAAACCTCTTCAGCCCTTTCTGTCGAGACGCAGGGTTGGCGTCTGCTCGAATAGTGAAGTTGGCCTCAATACTGCAATCCATAAACAAAAAAGGTACATGTTCTTCTCAATCAAAATATAAAAAACAAACAATGGAAGCACATCAGAAAATGTCATTAATCTCATTTTCCTGATGTATTTCCAAGATGAGCTTATTATTATGTTTTGCAGATAATATTACATGCTATGAAAGTGCATACATTTGGATCTATTTTATGGAAACTCACCCTGGTTCTTTGCCCAGTATAGTAGAGGCTACTGCATCACTTGAAAGTCGGCTTGGGTTTACTGGGTTCAGCTTGGCCTGAAAAATCATGTACATGTACACATATATACTGTTACAACTACATGTACATATTATCTCTGAGAGTAATGCCATCAGTTTGGGTAATCAAGACACCCTGGATCCTTAAACTGTATGCCCAGTGCTTATTCAGTTGACTATGCCTTCAGCTATTTAGCTTCTCTAAATTTTTTTTTGGAAAACCTACCCACAAAACTATGAATACAGTCAGCAGGCAGTTATAGAAGACATGAAAAACTTTCTTGTCATGTAACAGACAGGAATCTACTTCATGCATTCATATTCATTGTAGAATATGAATGTTTTTTCTTGTGCTGAAGTACATGTACATATACATGTAAACATGGTGCATGTAGTGTGCCTTGTATCTACATTCTGTTGAACCACAGCACTCTGCATGTGGAAAGAGTGTTTCTCACCCAGCCCCTCATGATGTCCCAGATGACATGTGGAGGTGCATCTGTCTTGACAGCTGTCTTACAGGTGTGGGACAGGGACACCTGGTACCCGGCATGGAGGATGGCAGACCTGGGGACAAGGGGACAGTTGTATGACATGTGTAGCCACAGATCTAATATAAATTCTGCCTCTCTGTCACAACTTCTGAATGGCTGGCAGACCAGGCTACATGTAGCAGACATGAGATTGAGAGGTCATGGGTTTGATTCCTGGCATTCCTGACTGGAGGTTGTGTCCTTGGGAAATGCACTTTACATGACCTTCCTCACTCCGCGCAGATGTAGAAATAGTACCTGACTTTGGTGGGGTGGTAAAAGGTGGTGGAAGGAGAGGGATGGGCTCTTCCTTCCAATACCATTCCCTAGATACAGTGGAACTCACTACTAATATGGCTTCAAAAAATATATGGGATCTTGACCGATACCACAGCTCCTACCATCAATTACAGTCAAAGTAGACTATAGCTAGCAGAGGACAAGCCACTGTAAGTGCATGCAGCTATAGATATGTAGTCTTTACATATACATACAAACTTTTCAATGGTCAAACTAACCTGACAGCCAGCAGAGGTGGACAGTTGACTCGGACCACACTGGCCAGTTTGTCCAGGCAGTAGAACATCGGGCAGTCTGGCAACTCCTGATCAAACACAAGGAGGACTGTAGGTCAAGCATGCATACATCTATTATACATAACTCATACCAACATTACCATTATCTTGTTTCTGGCTGTGCATAAAATTCTTCTTTGGACAAGAAATGTAAACAGCCAGGGAATGTTTGTATGTATCAGAATATAACATTACAAAAATGTTTACATATGCATACAATGCATACATACATGTATAACTGTTACATACAAACCACAAACCTCCTACATACAATTTGGTGCATGTTTTACATGATTTTCAGTACATTAGCCTGACTTTTCTGACACCACTTTCTACCATTTCCCATTCTTTTCTTGAGCAGCAACACACAAATGAGAGAACGCTACCACAACACGTCAAGCGTGACCAACATGTTAGCAGAACTCGGCTGGCAACCACTGGCAGAACGCAGAAGGTCAGCAAGACTAGGGATGCTGGCTAAGATCAACCAAGGAATTGTGCAATGCCCTATTATAAAAAGCAAGCTTGTTCCGCCACCATCAAGAAGAAGACGCACACACAACTACCAGCTTTCCCAGATTAAGACTAGAACACAGTACAGAGACTTTTCATTCCTGCCTAGAACCATCAAGGATTGGAATGCAGCAGAGGTAGACACGGTGAACAACCTGGTGTCCAGCCTCATGTAGTCTTCACTGCTGTAATATATGGACGGGACTATTCGGAACTGACCCGGCGAGGTTAAATGGACTGTGAATACTGGACAATTTTAGTATAATGACCTCTGACCTGAAATGCCAGAAAAATCGACGCCTCGATTGTGGGCATCAAGGGAAGAAGAAGAAGAAGAAGAAGAAGAAGAAGAAGAATTCATGTGATTGGTCCAATCCCCTGGGACGTACCTCTGACACGACACTGAGCATGCCCACCATCCTCTGGGCAGTGTTGAACCTGTCTGCGGAGTTCTCCACGGAGCTCAGCAGTCTCTGGACAAACCCTGCATCATGGAGCGGCTCTGCCCAGATGGGGCCTCCAATCTACAGCAAACACAGTTCACAGACATGTTGTAGTATCTTAACTTCATGTCTAAGGCTTGTCATAAAAGTCTACAGCGATTGTTACATGGCTAGTTCACTATGATTTGAAGAATGTCTGGCTAATGTTTCTTGTTATTGTGATAACAAGAGAAACTGTTGGACAAAGTCACAGTACATGCAGAACAACAATCTTTACATTATTTAAAAACAGAACTTTATATTTAATTAGTTTCAGTATAAACTTTGCTCTGAGCTACATGTAAATTATCTCACAATGTACATTTTCTATTGATGAAGTCCACAACTTCATCCAAGATGACTTACATAAAAATTAAAAGCATCATAACATCTGGCATACAAGATAATTCCATACACAACTGCCTGTGACTGAGAAGTAGTTAGACCTGCAGTTCTGTGCTGACCTGATGTGTGGCGCTGCAGTGCTCACACGCAGGTCCCACTGGAGGACCGTTGCCTGGGTGGAACTTCACACTGACCAAGACATAAAAGTCACAACATCATACAATATACATAACATGTATATATAGGACATGGATTAGCTTCATATCAATGATATAGCAGGAAGACTTGCATTAGCCTTGATATATAGATGTGGTCTGCATGAAAGTTGTAAGGTACTCAACAATAAAAATTTTTTATTTAAATGAAATAAGGCAATGTGACCACATTGCTTAAGACTTAAGCAGTCTTTATGATCGCCTGCATAGTACAAAGTTAAAACTTCATTCCAACTCAAAGTGTACACAGGGATCAAATTTTCAACAACCACTTAGTTACGGTTTAAGAGTGGGGGAAGGGGGAGAGTCAAGGTAGGGTAAGAGTGGGAGAAGGGGGAACAGTTAACTTCCATGATGTTTTACCTGCGATTTTTCTCCACAATTCTGCCAATCCTCTGCACGTTGAAGGTGTCACAGCCGGAACAATGGTACACCATGGCTTGTTTACTACAAGAGAACCAGAGGACAACAGACATCTGTCAAAACTATAAACTGAAAAACTATCAATGTGTTACACAAAACTATCAGATTCTATGTGTGGTGTAAAGGTACTAGTAGGGGATTCGGCCCATAACCATGGGTCCTGGGTTTGATTCCACCTACAAGCCCTAACATTGTACCCTTGGGAAAGGGCACTTTACATGACTTCTCTCATCACTCAGGTGAAAAAGAATATCGACCTCGGCTACAATGTAGGTATGTCCGTTACGTTGGAAAAGGACATTAACTAACTAAATTCTGCATTTGGGGAGAGCCACACTCTACGCACGTTAAAGAACCCACCAAACCTTTTGAAAAAGAGTAGAAGCATGCCCCGATGTGCAGTGGTCCAAATAATACAGTCTGGAGTACTGGTCTTGCCAACAATTGGCATGCCAGACTGATCAATATGATACATGTAATTGTGGGCATCAAAGGAAAGACAAGACAAGACAATACAAAAAACAAACAAACCTAGCAGATCTCTTGGCCTGTGCCTGGCTAACGTACACCCTCACAAACACACGGCAGTAGAAGTCAGCAAACAGCGAGAGCTGAGGCACGATGTAGCGATGATAGCGGTTGGCATGGCGATCCAAACAGGACAGGACAATCCGCAGGGCCTACATGACCACACCAGATAACAAATAAAATGGTCAACTGTATGATATTACACAACTGTATATTAATATATTGAGGGATTTCTACATGTCTGACAGAATGCATCTGTACTCTAGATGGAAATGAAAGATTTTTAACAAGACTATTATCATCTTAGTAAAAGATACCTTCAGTACATTTTTCTTCTAATTGACAAGATTTCTTTCTTGAAAAAAACAACATACATCCAAATTAGAAGTATTGAATTCTTCCTAGTCTTCTCAGAGTAAGCTAATGTTACACATAAAATTTAGAACTGAGGGGATAAGGAGATACATCTAACTTACCATCTCATGGCAGTACTTGGCTCGAAGTGACATGGAGCCGTACTTGGTCCAACAGGTCTCAGAGCCGTTCCCACACATGACAGCAGCATCAGTACATGTGATACACAGTAAACCTGGGGGAGTAGGGGGCAAAATATCATTTAAAAGCTGAAAATTTGAGCAAAACACAATTGGAAAACAGTCCCATACATGCGAGTACAGGAAGTTATGATTTGGAAACCTTTCACTTTCAATTTTAATATGTAAGAAAAGTGTGCAGCTAATGAAATGTACCAGGACTGATTTGTACATCAAATGTTTACAGTAGTTGTTATACCAGAGGCATATTCAGTATTATCAACATATCTGTAACATTACCTCCGTCCTTGACTGACTGCACAGCGCTGTCTAGAAATGCTGACGGGCTGCCGTAGGGGTCAAGGTCAATCACATCAAACTTGACCTGCTTCCCGCGGTGTTCATACATGAAGGCACTAGGGTGAAGATAATGTTCACATGTTGGACACTTTTCTCAACACCTTTTGAAATGTATTTCTAGACCTGCTTTGTCATGAAGTAATCAACAATGTACCAGGGTTGAAAATTACCTGCAGCAGGCAATTTTTATCTGCACATCTGCATATGAAGTATGGATCGTACTAAAAACTTTTCAGAAACCATTGCCATTATTTCTCTTATACTTCATAGTCAGTAATAGTTAATACAGCACACAGTAATAGTCAATACATACCAATCTACATACATCAAAATGTTCATATAAACCCAATGTATGGATCACTACACTATAGGTTACGTCTAGGTAGGCATCAGAAATACCTACACAGCTCCAATTTTACTCAAGATTTTACCAATAAGAAGATTCAAGAACACTATCAATTGCAAGACCCCATAACAAACCTGGCATCTGCATGGTTAGCCACAACCAAGTCGTCCACGCCGTTATGCGTGATGTTCTTCTGGATGGAGCTGACGGCTTCTCGTGACAAGTCATTGGCCACGATCTCCCGGATCCCCGGAACTTCCTTGGCGAACCTGATAGCACGGAGACCAGTCGCCGACAAGGCTTCCAGAACAGTAAGGCCGTCCTGGGGAGGTAACATGAGAACAGATATGAGTCATGAAAACAATAACTGTTTCTGTTATCTTTGTTCAGTTGGAGTAGAGGTCTAGAGGAATCACATGTATGTTAAAATACTAGTACTAACCCACACTACTTCTTTCTAAGCTATCTCTTACCTGACATTTGTCCCCTGCTTGTACCATGTGTGTAGGGTCCTGGTCCACTGTTGGGAGGTCGTCTGTCGTTGTTTCTTTGTCTGACTGTTCCAAACCTATTCCACCCACTGGGAAGGTGTAAAAATATTGTACAGTTAGTTTCTTTTTTTTGGGATTCAACACTGCTCTAGCTTACATTTCCTTTGCTGTTTAGAAAAGGAAATTTTTCACTTGGAACTGTGGTGTCTCAGCATATGTTTATAATGTTATATATGTCAGCTCAGTCAATATCAACATAATAATGTGAAATGTCACTCTAAAATACTCTAAAATAGTTCCTGTTACAAATACAAAGTAGTACTAGTAAGTAACATTAACTATTTACTATGAGTATGACAAACTCACCAGATAGTCCTTTCTTCTTCAGTTGTTCTTCAGCAAATAAGCTGATAACTGCAACACTTAAGAGAAATATGCAAGAGCATATGACTTCATATTTAGGATTCATATTGGAAAGTTTAACTCAAAATCAGTAAATGAGTTTAAGACAAACTTTAATTAGACAAATACTGGGAGAGCATAAAGTATAACACTGAGTGAAGTCGAGATCGGGATCACCACAGGATTACCTCATCATCCCGAAGACGGTATCAAGGCATCAAGGTAAAGTTGTAAAAAGGTCAGAAAAAAAAATTAACCATTCTGAAGAAACTGAAGATTATTATCATGAAACTGAAGATGGACTCACGTTAGGTCCCTGTTGAACTCTTGTACAGGATTGTAAAACACCTTATTCTTGTTGGGAAACAGGATTTCTGCCTTCCCTTCTTTTACAATGGTATAGTCTGAAGGACTGGCTGTGGTGTGGTCACTTTGGCCTGTACCATTGGAGTCAGAGGGAGGTTCAGTGCTAGTTCTTTGTGATGTTTGCTCTGTCTTAGTAGCCATACTTCCTGAAAATGAATTGCCAGGGATATTCCTCTTGTACAGTAACTTCTTGAGTCCTGGTTTGAGAAGACTAGCACACCCACTCAGGTTCTGGGAGAAAAGTTTGGTTGATGATATCGTGACTGCAGGTTTAAACCTTGTCAACATGGAAAATTGTACCTGAAAGACAGACAAAATAAAAAAAGTGAATTTCATTTTTTTCTGTTTATAACATTAACATTTATAATACATGTGTTGAAAATTATGTATCATAAGCACATGTAAGTTTTGGAGGATGGCAAATCTTTGCAATCGTAACTGTTTATGAATTTATCAATCACATTTTTAAGTAGTCGGAGGTGATTGTAGTCTAGCTGGCAAGGCAGGACGTTATATCAAGTCAATCAACAATTCCTCTATAACAAATTAACGTTATAACTTAATACAATGATAGCCGTGGACGACTCTGGTACCCTTTTTGCATGATAATGCCGGTCCCGGCATTATCATGCAAAAAGGGTACCAGAGTCGTCCACGGCTAATACAATGAATGAATGAAAATTTGCAATTGTATATATGCATTGTATTCTCAGCAGCTTGTGCACAAATATTAATAACGTTCATTTCTTAGCCTTCACTCATAATCAACGATGACATGTCACCCAATCAAGTTATTATATAGATTACGGAAGTCTGGAAGCATTCATGCACAGTTTTTTGCACACAAATAATTAACTGCGATCTTCAGATACACATGTGTAGCAGGCCAGCTGGCGCACTGATCTGCCTTCACATGAGTCGGGAAAATGTGTGAAACAGACTGTGGTATACGATATCTGGCAAACATATCCGGCGATTATGTACACCCAAGGACACAGAAAGGTGATCTTCAGCTAGAATAGGTCACGGATAGCAACGTACCTGAGCACATCAAAAGAAAAGTCTTTCCGGCGATCAAAATCCCATGCGCGCAGCCATCTTGTTTGGATATTGACTGGGATTCTTCTACTTATCGCTAGAGGGCGCTATTGAGTGAACCAGCCATCTGCTGCGACCTCCAGCGATGAGTGGGATTTTACACGCAATGTATAGTACTACTGAGCAAAGCAGCTAGGAAGTCACGGGGTGGGCGTGTGGACCCACTCACATTAAACTAGAGATGAAAGGATACTTAGTCAAAGTGTGTGCCCTTCAGTAGGGTTCACAAGGCTTATGTGTTATCTACTACTGGTTTTACATAACCGTCGACTAAAGGTTGGAAATGCAACAAAGATCCCATGATAATTATGAAAGCCGGGCATCATACATCTCGGTGTGGGCGGCCTTGATGATGACTTTGCAAAAACAAGCTGGTGGGTAGAAGGTCGGGGTATTGTGCCTAGTGTTTATATAAGTACAATATCTCTCTTCCGGCTAAAACTGATCATACACTTTCAAAACAAAAGCTTTGGAGCGTTACTGCCACGGTTTGTAACATGTTGGTGCAGGGTCTTTGCTCTGGAATGGCGGTCGATCTTACACGCCGGATGCTGAAGTGCGCTGGGCATGGGGCTTGGCGGGCTGGCACACTATAATCGCCGTAGAGCCACGGCGGTCTGTTCACCGGTCTACATTAATTGCTACATTCGTCTATAAACTATGTCGCTCCGGTTGAACCATGTCCCAGTGACTTTTAGTGTGCGGCAGCTTAGCAACATCACACGACAGACGATATGAAGGCAGCTGGATGCCTACAAATCTACAACCTTTTGACATTAACTGTATGTAGCTTTCACTCAGTGAGTCACTAAATCAAATGTTAATATCAGTTACACCGTTCACAGTTGTTGTAAAGGGAATGCCGCCTGTTTTGAGTGACATGGGACCGCGTTTTGAAGTAACTGGAAAGGCACTTCTAAAGTGCACTTGTAATGGGGGTGTTTGTAAGCCAATCCCGGTGCTCTTTGCGGAGGTTTAACTTACCTGGCCATTAAGGACCGCCGCACCTGTGTCCCGGCGTTTCCATGTGTATGAGCCAACACTTAAGAACACTGAAAAGGTTCTTCACAAGGCTTCCGGCTATAGTCGCTTAGTCGTTTGTTTGGCGAGCATAAGTGAGCATTATAGTATGAACTTTGGCATTGGGATTATCAGATACATATCAAGCGGAAAGACGGAAAGACAAACACAAGTGATTCATGCAAAGGTCAATAAACTGAAGGATATCGTACAAAGCAGCTACAAAATGAGCAAATATATGCCGTAAATTGCAAAAAAAAATATTGGAAAGCTATACTAATGTCTTAGAATGCCCAAATCAATTCCAAAGGAAAATAAGAAAATGTGAAGAAATGAAAATAGAGTCTATTGTTCGTCCTATAGCTACCTTACTCTGTGTGTTAAGTCGTTTTTCAGCCTTCATGACCGCGTAGATTTCATAAGGAAGGTAACTTTTTTTGCTGAACTTCTTTTATTCGGCTCCCAGAGAATGTCATCCATATAATCAGATCAACATGGCCCAAGTGGCTCATAGTATATGGACAAGACCTACAGCAAGATGTTGATATCCCCATGCAGGGACATGTGGTCAACATAGCGGGAGTTTCTATTTGGGTTAAACGTTGCC